TATTCCAAACCAACTTACAATCAGTTATCCATGTTTTCATTACATTTTTCACCTCTTCTCTCATTATATAAGCTTGTTCCAAAAGTTTATAAACATTTTATGATTTATTTTGAAAATAGAGAAATCCATATTTAAATCATTAGATAATAAAAAGGCATATCTTGGATTTAATATGGTAATATGTACCAGGTCTATTAGTATGAAACGCGAAAATTTTCAGTGAATTCAAAAGTTCACCAATTCCATACAACAAAAGATTTTTTATTCAAAGTAACTGCCCTGATTAGCTATACACTCGGACCACTTTTCAGGCAATTTTCGAATTCCTTGTTTGAAAATTTCTATTCCTTTTGAGTCGAACCAGTCAACAAGTCATTTTCGGAGTATGTCTGAGTTCGAAAATTCCTGTTTTTTTAGGGCGTGTTCTAAAGATGTGAAAAGGTGGTAGTTCGACGGCGCTAAGTCTGGTGAGTACGGCGGGTGGGGTTAGAGTTCCCAGCCCAAATCTTTTATGGTGTTTTTTACCACCGTAGCGTTGTGGGCTGTAGCGTTGTCATGCTGCAGTATCAGGTTGTTGTGCTTTTCACGCCATTCCGGTCTTTTTTCATTCAACGCCTCTCTCAAACTGTGCATTTGTTGTTCGTAGCGACTAGTATTGACCATTTTGCCAGGTTTCAGGAGCTCGAAATATACTACGCCGGTCTGGTCCCACCATATGCAAAGCATTGCCTTTTTTCCGAAGCGATTGGGCCTAGGCGTCTGTTTTGGAAATTGGCTGGGCAGGCCCACGACTTTTGGCGCGTAGAATTGCTGAAGTGGATCCATTTCTCATCAGAAGTTACGATTCGGTGCAAAAATGACTTCTTTTCATGCCTGGCGAGCAGCCCTTCGCAGGTTACCAGACGCCGTTCTTGCTGCCTTTCGCTCAACTCGTAGGGGACTTATCTGGAAAGCTTTTGGGTCATTCTGAGGCTGTTTATACGTAGGGAAACAGAACCTTGAGACACCTGGAGATGTTTCGCGAGTTTCTCCTGCGTTTGGGTACTGTCGTCATCCAACAAAGCTTGCAGTTCAGCGTCCTCAAACTTTTGGTGCGGTTTTCCACGTGGTTCATTATCAAGTTCGAAATCGCCACTTTGGAATTTTTTAAACCACCTTTAACACTGTGATTTGCTCAGAGCGTGGTCGCCGTGAACTTCCTCGAGCATTCGGTGGGCTTCAGTGGCACTTTTCTTCCAGTTGAAGGCGAACAACAAAACCTCCCGCAAATAGGCACTTTTTGGCTCGGAAATCACCATTTTCCACGGGCTCCAGAAATTTTCCACGATTTGAATTTTTCTAAAACTCCACGCATGCTGATGCCACGTGAGTCAAAAAACAAAATGCCTTCAACAGCGCCACCGTCGGCTCAAATAAAGTTGCACAGCGGCCTCTGGCGCCCATTTTCGCGTTTCATACTAATAGACCTGGTATTGTTGAATTATCTTTCGTAATAAAAATCCATTCTTGTTATAATACTATAATAATGGCCTGTTCAATGAACACGTATATAACGACAGCCAGTTCTAAGCTATGTAAAATTGACCTTAATTGGCTGCTCTATCATCATGGACTGTATTATATTCCCAAGACTTCTCGAACTGATCCCTCAGAATTGCTTCCACTCCAAACCATCTCCTCAAATTCCTACCAAAAATCCTCCATGGAGAGGCCACCACGACCATCTTCACTGCTATAGCCATGTACTGGCAGACATTACACGTGTACATCCCGAAACAGACCCTACCTGCATCCACTGTTCAGAAGAGCCACAGACAGTCGATCATCTTCTCTTCAGCTGTCCAGCATTCCTGAGACATAGGATGCAAACAGCTATCCTGTTTGGACTGACCCACCTCAATCCTACATCTATGACAAGACTCAACCTCAGCATGGAATTTTCTGATAAACTGGTTCAACTCAGCAAGCAAAACAGGACGCAAATACAAGTGCTAACTAGTCCATACTAGTAAGCTAGACTTCCCGAGTATTCTCCATTCTGAGCTACAGTAACCTAAAATTTACAAATATCTCTCTTAATAAGTCTATAAATGAAAATATGCATAAGACTATATATTTCACTAATAGAATTTTCAACTTACCAAATGTAAATTAATGGTAAAAACGGAATATCACGATAAAATATTTAACATAATTATTTTATCTATTCTCCTAATATACAATTTTCCTACTTTTATCAATTCTCCTAATTTCTGTATATACGAGGGTAAGACAACTATTAACTACAATGTTTTATATTTTTATTTATTTTGATAATACTAACGTGAAGCGTAGCAGTCGAATGCGTGTTTTAATTCTTGTTACATCTGGACAGGTTATGTTCTGATAGGTTAGAACAGGAGTCGGCAAACTGCGGCATAAAATAAGTCGGTGGACGAGTAGGTAACACCCTCGATTCCCGACAGTCATGAACCGGGATTGAATCCCGCGTTAAAATTTGTTTAATATGTGAATAACCTTCACATATTAATCATTGTTGTAAATATCATAAACTAGGTTGCTCTTTTTGAGCGGTACCTAATAAAGTGATTTTGGAAAGGCAAACGGCTCGCGAGTCACATGCGACTCTTTTGGATGTGAAGCTGTGTCTCTCTTTATATAGCTCAATACATAAATATTATTCATGCGAGTACTATTTTTTTGTTGTCAAGAAAATAATGTGTGACTCTTTAAAAATTTTGAAATTTTGTGAATAGTAATTTTTGACTCTTCCGACTCAAAAGTTTGTTGACCCCTAGGTTAGAACCTTTGTAGCTGTCGTGTCGTTAACAATGGATGCTGCGCTCTCAGCTTGCACTAAAAAAATAACAACGTTCAGTGATCAGTTTTTATGGTCGCAAGGTGTACCTGGGACCCAAATTCTTCGAAAACTATCAGTACAATACGGAACAGTGAGTAACCTCTACGGTGTGTCTACGAAAGGATATTTTTATTTTGTATATTTAAACCTATATAACTTTATATCGACATTGTTAAAAAGGCAGATGAAGACGCCAGAAACAATTGAATACTCATGTCAAAAATGTAAGAAGACAGTAAAGGCAAAGAAATGGACTTGTCTTTCCCGTCTTCCAGAAATCCTGATAATCCACTTATCTAGATTTACGTTAGCTGGACAGAAAAACAAAACTCCAGTGTTCTCACCCGAAGTCCTCGATATCAGTGAGTTCACCACGAACTACTGTAAAGGTGCGAACTACCGCCTCTACGCCATGTCGGTCCATAATGGAAGTGTAAACAGGGGACATTATTGGGCCGTGTGCAACAACAATGGATCTTGGATGGAGTTCGACGACACCACAGTGAGTCCAGCTTCCATAGACCAGAGTGCAAACGCCTACTTCTTTTACCAGAGAATCCATTGAAGTCTTTTCCAATGTCATATGCTCTTTTGTATATTTAAATATTCTTTTTTTACTTATCCTTTTATTAGTCTAAATTAGACAAGATCTTGGAGGTCGTGCCCATAAGGAAGTTATGCACGACTCCATATATGTTATATGCCAGTTATGTTAAAGCGCTGGTTTTATCCAGCATTTCCCCGAGGTCACCTACAGGGAGATGTAACTTGGAATTTGACCTGGTATTAAATGGCCGCCTTTAACATGAGGAACCTTGTGCAGCCGCTCTTAACATGGAGACGCTGATGATTATCCTGTAACCCAAGGATAGGAGCCCTTACAGGGTACTATCAGCCGGGCCAGCTGAACCCAGGTTTTTTAGTGAGCTTGTTACTGCTCCCCCTTCCTCCTTTTACATACGGGCTTGGGACCGGCAATGGCGGAGTTTTTAAATATTCTAAATGAAAATAATGAAATTAACATCTGAAATATATTTATGACAAATAAATTTACTGGCAATGTATGTTTATTTTCAATAATATCATCAAATATTATATCTACAGACCTAACTGCAATGATATGATACTGAAATCATTGCAGTAAGGTCTGTAAAGATAATATTTTATGATATTATAGAAAATAAACATACATTGCCAGTAAATTTATTTGTTATCAATTTAATCGATAGATGGCAATCTACTTATATAAGTACCATACTTATGGTAAGTAAAAATTTAAAAAAGATGCCGAAACCCGGGATCGAACCAGGGACCTTTAGATCTTCAGTCTAACGCTCTCCCAACTGAGCTATTTCGGCTTATTTAAGTTATTTCTATAGAAGCTTCTATCTTTATAATCTACTTATATAATTGCCTTATTCTGTCTGTGTGAAGTTCACTGTGTGAAGTTCACGGATAGATTTTGGTCACGTGTCAAGTTATGGTAAGTAAAAATTAAAAAAAGATGCCGAAACCCGGGATCGAACCAGGGACCTTTAGATCTTCAGTCTAACGCTCTCCCAACTGAGCTATTTCGGCTTATTTAAGTTATTTCTATAGAAGCTTCTATCTTTATAATCTACTTATATAATTGCCTTATTCTGTCTGTGTGAAGTTCACTGTGTGAAGTTCACGGATAGATTTTGGTCACGTGTCAAGTTATGGTAAGTAAAAATTTAAAAAAAAGATGCCGAAACCCGGGATCGAACCAGGGACCTTTAGATCTTCAGTCTAACGCTCTCCCAACTGAGCTATTTCGGCTTATTTAAGTTATTTCTATAGAAGCTTCTATCTTTATAATCTACTTATATAATTGCCTTATTCTGTCTGTGTGAAGTTCACGGATAGATTTTGGTCATGTGTCAAGTTATGGTAAGTAAAAATTTAAAAAAAGATGCCGAAACCCGGGATCGAACCAGGGACCTTTAGATCTTCAGTCTAACGCTCTCCCAACTGAGCTATTTCGGCTTATTTAAGTTATTTCTATAGAAGCTTCTATCTTTATAATCTACTTATATAATTGCCTTATTCTGTCTGTGTGAAGTTCACGGATAGATTTTGGTCACGTGTCAAGTTATGGTAAGTAAAAATTAAAAAAAGATGCCGAAACCCGGGATCGAACCAGTGACCTTTAGATCTTCAGTCTAACGCTCTCCCAACTGAGCTATTTCGGCTTATTTAAGTTATTTCTATAGAAGCTTCTATCTTTATAATCTACTTATATAATTGCCTTATTCTGTCTGTGTGAAGTTCACTGTGTGAAGTTCACGGATAGATTTTGGTCACGTGTCAAGTTATGGTAAGTAAAAATTAAAAAAAAAGATGCCGAAACCCGGGATCGAACCAGGGACCTTTAGATCTTCAGTCTAACGCTCTCCCAACTGAGCTATTTCGGCTTATTTAAGTTATTTCTATAGAAGCTTCTATCTTTATAATCTACTTATATAATTGCCTTATTCTGTCTGTGTGAAGTTCACGGATAGATTTTGGTCATGTGTCAAGTTATGGTAAGTAAAAATTTAAAAAAAGATGCCGAAACCCGGGATCGAACCAGGGACCTTTAGATCTTCAGTCTAACGCTCTCCCAACTGAGCTATTTCGGCTTATTTAAGTTATTTCTATAGAAGCTTCTATCTTTATAATCTACTTATAAAATTGCCTTATTCTGTCTGTGTGAAGTTCACGGATAGATTTTGGTCACGTGTCAAGTTATGGTAAGTAAAAATTAAAAAAAAGATGCCGAAACCCGGGATCGAACCAGGGACCTTTAGATCTTCAGTCTAACGCTCTCCCAACTGAGCTATTTCGGCTTATTTAAGTTATTTCTATAGAAGCTTCTATCTTTATAATCTACTTATATAATTGCCTTATTCTGTCTGTGTGAAGTTCACTGTGTGAAGTTCACGGATAGATTTTGGTCACGTGTCAAGTTATGGTAAGTAAAATTTAAAAAAAGATGCCGAAACCCGGGATCGAACCAGGGACCTTTAGATCTTCAGTCTAACGCTCTCCCAACTGAGCTATTTCGGCTTATTTAAGTTATTTCTATAGAAGCTTCTATCTTTATAATCTACTTATATAATTGCCTTATTCTGTCTGTGTGAAGTTCACGGATAGATTTTGGTCACGTGTCAAGTTATGGTAAGTAAAATTTAAAAAAAGATGCCGAAACCCGGGATCGAACCAGGGACCTTTAGATCTTCAGTCTAACGCTCTCCCAACTGAGCTATTTCGGCTTATTTAAGTTATTTCTATAGAAGCTTCTATCTTTATAATCTACTTATATAATTGCCTTATTCTGTCTGTGTGAAGTTCACGGATAGATTTTGGTCACGTGTCAAGTTATGGTAAGAAAAAATTAAAAAAAGATGCCGAAACCCGGGATCGAACCAGTGACCTTTAGATCTTCAGTCTAACGCTCTCCCAACTGAGCTATTTCGGCTTATTTAAGTTATTTCTATAGAAGCTTCTATCTTTATAATCTACTTATATAATTGCCTTATTCTGTCTGTGTGAAGTTCACTGTGTGAAGTTCACGGATAGATTTTGGTCACGTGTCAAGTTATGGTAAGTAAAAATTTAAAAAAAGATGCCGAAACCCGGGATCGAACCAGGGACCTTTAGATCTTCAGTCTAACGCTCTCCCAACTGAGCTATTTCGGCTTATTTAAGTTATTTCTATAGAAGCTTCTATCTTTATAATCTACTTATATAATTGCCTTATTCTGTCTGTGTGAAGTTCACTGTGTGAAGTTCACGGATAGATTTTGGTCAGAATGGATAAAATAAAAAAGTGTCAAGGGATGGGAATCGAACCCACGACCTTCCGCTTACCGGGCAGATACCATGACCACTAGGCTACCCTGGACATATTTTTCCGTTCATAAAGTTAATATATAAATATAATTTTAATTAAAACATTTTAAAAACGCACAGTTTGGAACGGGACGTTTCACAAGAGTTACATCGATGGCGCCAATTTATAATTGTAACGAATAGTATTTGAATTAAAACGTTTTTAAAATATATACGCACTCGGGTAAAACCCGGGCGTTGCCCGGGCCATTCGTCTAGTTGAATTTATAAACGAAATATATTTATTTATTCAGATTACTTTTAAGAACATTCTTTTTTAATCTTCCTTTTATATTATTATGACTCATAACAAAGAGGAGGGACCTTGATCATATATTGTGAAAGATTTACTAAATATATTTTAGTTATTTATTTAACTGTTGGGAGAGACACGCCATATCCACAATTAGGATAATTGCGTGTATATCTGAAATTATATACAATTAACACAATTGAACATTGAGAAGCATGGAAATTAAACGTTCGATGTCAAATTTTGCATATAGTAATTAGAAATAGTAGCTTGAAATATGTACAGTCAACACTTTCGCCTTAAAATATACATCCTGCAGAATCTATTAAACTTGATGTATTGGTCTTTATTGCGCAAGCAACTTGTTTTGTATTAGTCAGGTAAAAAATATATTTTAGTGGAACATATAAATTTGCTTGCAATTTTTATTTGTAGTCATATACAGTAGAACCTCCCTGTATAAAGGACACCTAATTTCAGAGCCAAAAAATCCTTTAGGGAGAGGTGTTCTCTTACCGGAGATTTACTAAATCGTAAAAATTTTACTAATAAAAATTGTCCTTTGTAGAAAAGTGTCCTCAAGCGCGAGTGTCCTCTCATTATGGTTCTACTGTATATATATATATATATATATATATATATATATATATATATATATATATTTATATTTCATTTGTATGATTGTGTGGTAATTCAAAAATTATCTCTTTTTTTATTACATTTTCTAATATTTAGAAATATCGATTGAAATTTTCAATGGTAAGAGGGCTCAACCTTTTTCATACTTTTAAGATGATTTTTAATAAAAGGATGCTTTTTATACTTAAAATGTTTTAAATATATATTTTATAATATATTTCAGAGAATATTTACTGTACAGAGTAAATATAATAAAAATCTTTTTTGAGTATCTGTTTATTTTTTATAATATAGATTTGTTTATATTTACTCAACATAACTTAGAATACCTTTACGTTACTTATACTTTACTTAAAACATATGTAGACTATTTTGAATTCTTATAATTTGAACTTATAAACAAGTATTTTAATCGATAAAAATTGTATTTCCAATTTTATAATCTAATAGAGAATATAACTGGAAAAAGTTAATCTTATATAAAGCACTACAATTTAATATGGTAAGTTTTGAAGCATCCAAATCTATATACATAGGGAAAATACCATCTAGTTTTACTATTGAAATTCTCAAATTATTTTTTTCACAATTTGGAAAAGTTGTTAATGCTGAGATTTGTTACACAAAGAAAGTCAAAAATAGATTCGGTTTTGTTGAATTTAGTGATTCGAGTAGCGTGGTAAAGGCTGTTAAGGATTACAACAATCAACCGAAAATAAAACGAAATTTTGTGGTTATACCAAAGTTAATAAAGAAATATCCAAGAAGAAAGATTCTTATTAAAGTAAGAAATATAACTAAAGAGTCATTGTGTGTTGTAGTGCCAAAATGTGGGTTATCAAATTTGCGTAATACCTGCTATATGAATTCAATATTGCAGTGTTTATTTCAGACTCCACCATTGGCAAAATTTCTGCAATCATGTCAAGAAGTAAAAGGTAAAATACTCCCCCAATTCAATGCACTTCACCACCAACTTCTTCAAGAACGGCTTGTAAGACCATGGATATTTAAATTTAGAATAGGGAGTTTGAATTCCATGTTTGGTGATTACAAGCAACAAGATGCTCATGAATTTTTAATTTCCATTCTTCAACTACTTCACGATGATCTGAATAAGGTGAAGACACCTCCCAAAGGACTTGAAGAAATTAAAGAAAACCAGCCAAAGGCGATTTTATCGAAATCTTATTGGCAACGTCATTTGTTATATGATAATAGTATCATTAATGACATATTTTTTGGACAGACTCAGGACACCGTGCGATGCACAGAATGCTTGACACGGACATTTTCTTTCCAGCCAATGTTGACATTGACGACACCTTTAGTACAAAGCTGTGACGATATCACTTTAAAACAATGTCTCAAGCAGATGAAGACACCAGAAACAATTGAATACTTTTGTCAAAAGTGTAAGAAGACAGTAAAGGCAAAGAAATGGACTTGTCTTTCCCGTCTTCCAGAAATCCTGATAATCCACTTATCTAGATTTACGTTGGATGGACAGAAGAACAATAAGCCAGTGTTCTCACCTGAAGTACTCGATATCAGTGAGTTCACCACGAACTACTGTAAAGGTGCGAACTACCGCCTCTACGCCATGTCGGTCCATAATGGAAGTGTAAATTCAGGACATTATTGGGCCGTGTGCAACAACAATGGATCTTGGATGGAGTTCAACGACACCATAGTGAGTCCATCTTTCATAGAACAGAGTGAAAATGCCTACCTTCTCTTTTACCAGAGAATCCATTGAAGTCTTATTGATTCTCATTTATAAACATATCTATATATATTGTCCTTGTAAATATCATTTGCCTTTTGTGCCCTTGTAAATACTATTTATGTATACACAAAATAATGGTGAAAATGTAAATAAAATTTTAAATATTTTTCATATAACTGAAGTTCATGTTTATTTAATCATTTTTCATCTTGAAGATAGAGGTTGCCTGGCAATATTCAATATTTCTTTTTAAAAAATAGACACTTCGGCAATCTAAAGATGTTGTACTAAATTTGAAAAATTGCGTGAGAACGCCCTTTTGCAACCTCAGAACAATTTTTAACGCTTTGATAAATGCTTTTTTTTTTTTTTTCTGACGAAGGCAAAATATTTTTGTTGAAAGGTTGATAAAAAATAAAACTTTTAACTGGTCAAAGTGTTTCCTTTTTTTAAAAGAAATAATCATGTAATGTTTTGGGTATTTTTATAATTAACTATATGCATATACCGATTCATTTATGTCTTTCCTGAGAATATGGAAATAATGCCTAAGCATTTTTACGGTTAACTTGATTTTGAGTGAAATTTGAACTTTACGCTTATCTTGAATATGTTGAAATTTGTCTGTCTAGGTGTTTGTTTATCAATCCAAAACTACTGTAGTACATATTATCAAATTTTACATTAGAGGGACAGTG